CAGTCCTTCAGCAACGACATGTCTGACAAGGTTAGAGATAGGTGGCCTTTCCGGGGTTTCACAGATAAAAGCTCGAATAACGTCAGACCTGATGTAACATTAGAACCGTCATACTCATATCCATAACACTTACAACACTATTTATGGTCTACTTGTAGCCAGGCATCCGTTTATGTTATCTATTCTGCTCTGTTTCTCGTTACAAGAAAGGTGAGATGTTCTGCCTTTCTACAAGATGAGTCGTTTTTGTATGGATAGAGAAAGCAACGTGTAGGTCTTGAGTGTGTACGTCTAAGCTCATGCGTGTACATTTACTCTTGACATTTGGAAGGGGGCAGTCATGTCATAACAAAACAAGCTGGCATAAGACACTGACAGGAGTACATATTTAAAGGACATATTTAAAGGTTTTTATTATGATTTTGTTGGGTTAATTATGAAATGAAGCTACTTAAGTATACAGAATTGTACAGGTTGCTCAGTATCTTCCTAGCCTTTCCTGTTGGGTAAGTGTCATCATTTTAACCAGTTTTTTCTTACTGTGTCAGATCATGTCAGCGATCAAGATTGCCCTCCAGCAGGGCCAGAAGAGTAGCAGAAGGAAAACCTCTGAAGCAATGTCTGCGGAGGTTTCACCAGACTCCAAGTGTCCCATCTGTTTGGACATGTTCAACAACATTTCTTACCTGGACCTCTGCCTCCACAAGTTCTGCTTCCGCTGTATTCACGAGTGGTCCAAGAACAAAGCCGAGTGCCCTCTATGCAAACAGCCATTTAATTCAATCTATCACAGTATAAAATCCGAGCAGGACTTTAAGAAGTACGACCTGCAACCGCTGGACAATGGCTCTTTTGGGACCTTTGGGGGAGTGCGATTCCGATACCGCACAACTCTCACCGGAGTCCATCGACAGATGCGGGGGCGAACCTCTCCGCCTCCAGACAACGGAGTGATGTTCGAAGCCTCGACAGACGCTCCCCAGCAGCCGCAGGACCGCTACATCCGGCGCATGATGATGAGGTTGGCAGCCAAGAGGAGAGCTGCGAGTGAAGGGAGGGCAGTGAACAACGTCCGAGAGCAGGAGATGGTAAACTTCAGGAGGGAACTGTACCGGCGGGGGGTGAGGGTGAGGAGTGTTCGCGACGGCGGCCGCTCCCGAGACACCTCAGCCGAGTTCTTCCGAAGAAATCCTGCCTGCCTACATAGACTGATCCCCTGGCTGAAAAGAGAGCTGGTTGTGCTGTACGGGGCTCATGGCTCTTTGGTGAACATAGTTCAGCACATCATTATGTCCCGCATTACACGTTATGACATGGAGGACGGAGCTATTCAGGAGGAGCTCAGGCCGTTCCTGCAGGGCCGCACAGAGCACTTTCTGCACGAGTTTGTCAGCTTCGCAAAGTCCCCCTTCAATATGGAGGCCTATGACCAGCATGCTGTCTATGACTGCCCTGCCCCTTCCTCAAATGAAGACAGCAGCTCCAACTCATCTGTAATAGCGATCTCAGAGGATGAGGAGTACTCGGTGGACTTGGACCCCCCAGGAGACTCCACATCTACTCTGAGCCACTCTATGTGGGACGACGAGACGCCCGGGCCGTCGTATTCTACAACAGCAGAGCAGAGCAGGGCAGAGTGTCTGTCAGTCCTCGACTCGGACTCAGACAGCAGTTTGGAGGAGGAGATCCAAGAGTTCGGGGCTCCTCCACAGCAAATGAGTCCTCATCACCAAACAGACGTGACTCAGGGTGAAGTGAACAAAGAAGAGTGTTTGTCTTCTGACACCGATGACTGTGTCATCGTAGGTTTTGTTAAGCCAACAACAGAGAGGACTCCGGAGCTGGTTAAGCTCTCCTCTGACTCTGATGAGTCTGCTAGTGAAGATACTAAACAAGTGCCTCTTCTACCTCAACACATCCGCTTCTCCAGTCTCAGTCCCATAGCATCACAGAGCAGTGATCCAAGTGGTGCCGGACGCTCAGAAACAGACCACTGTCATTTGTTGGATTCAAAAGAAAGATGCGGCTCTTCACCATCCAGCAGACACAAAACATCCAGGAAGTCGGACAGAAGAGACACTGATAGAAGATTTGACCGGAATCACAGATCCAGAGAGAGGCACTGGTCAAAGGACAGAGACCACCGGAGGAAGAGGAGGTCAAGAAGTGGAGAGCGCAGTTACTCTAGCAAGAGCCCGGCAGCCTCCCACGGCATCGTCAGCACTGTATCGAGAGAAAGAGGTTGTCCTTACTCCAGTGGCAGGGACTACTACTCAAAATGCGACAGTAACTATAAAAGGAGGGACGGTGATAACAGCTATCAGTCATATAGCCATTACAGCCAAGAGAGAAGTGATAGAGGGATGCATTACACAGAGAGGCGGTCCTACTATTACAGTAGCCGCAAGTACTCCGATCCGCACTCTCGCTCCAGGAGCTGCAGCAGGGACTCGCGGAGACGGGACAGGAGGCATTCTCGTTCTAGGACTTACTCCAGCAGTCGCTCCCCTTCCTCTAAAAAGAGATCTCACCACGATAAGCCTGGTGGAAAGAGAAAATACAAAACAAGACATTTGGAGCAGCCGTCGGAAAACGCACTCCCCAACTCAGAGGGCGAAGGGGACTCGGCCGCGTTGTTAACAAAACACAAGAAAAAGAGCAAAGACAAGCATCGTAAAAAATCCAAAGAGCGATCAAGGAAAACTAGCAGGAGCCTCAGCGTGGAGCTCGTCAACGAGGACAACTCTAACGAGCGAAGCAAGCGTCACCATAAGAAAAAGAAGAAACATAAGAAGAAAAGCAAAAGGCACAGGAGTAGTGAACGCAGAGAGAGAGGCTCACCCACCGTCATTACCATCGATAGTGACAGTGATTCTGTTGCTAATGACAATGCCACCCAGGCCAGCAGCACTAGCATGGACACCCCAATCGACAATACCACGAATGACCCAGTGGACCCAGCCCCTCCCTCCCCTAATGCATAGTTATATGAAAGTTAAGATTGACTCTGTATGTACTAGGAATTAAAAGATTCACCCTCAGCTGCAAATGCCTGCCAGCAGTATTTTAAATCAAAACAATGCTCAATATGTTGAAAGTCACCAGACCTTGAAGGATATGGCGAATACACATATCCCTTTAAATCCCACCACAAGTGTTTTCTACTGTGACGGTTCATTGGACGCCAGGTTTACACGACAGACTTAAATATCGGTGTTGAACTGGAGAGTGGCTATCCGTTGGATAAATAACCGTTCTAGACCATCGAGATCTAGTTTCTTGACTGAAAACCTAAAACAGTCCTATTTTTTGTGCAAAGTGCCACTATGAACACAGCAGAAAGGACTAATACTGGAAGTCACGTGTCAATTGTAATTCTTGAAATTCATTTTCTTTAATGGATGTATTTTATTTTTAAGGAGCTCTCAGGGATAATGTTGATTACATTGATTTCTTTTTGTTATTCTAAATCAGCTATATTCTTGAGATAAAACTATTTTTACCTGCAGCTCATGGAGTAGTACTTGTGGATTTCAGAATGGGTTCTTTTCTATTGGATTTTATTTAAAATAAATTGTAATGAGCAACTCTCTGTGCTATTTTGCCAATGTTGGTTATCTGTTTATTTCATCTAGGATCAGTCTGCGAATGTTGAAATGTTGAGTTCATATTGATAATGTGACTTCAGCTGGACTGAGGCTTTGCTCAATGTTTCGAGTTCATTGTCACACACACAACAATTACAGTGAAGCATAAAATAGTAAAAAGGTGTGTTTTGTAAAAAGCTCAAATGATGTAGTCAAACTTACTTCATCATCATAAACAGTACAAACATGCCTGAATTGATTATATATTGTGTAATTATAGAATTGCCATTTTAATTGAGTGTTGGTGTTTATTATGCACACAGATCACATGGTAAACTGACATTTTGATACTAAACCCCTATAAATGTTTTGATTAAAAAAAAAAAAAAAACTGGTTGCTGTAGGTTTGCTATACAGAAAACAATGAGATTGAGTGAAAGGTGCCATGGCACAGAAGAGTACTATATCCAAGAGGATTATGAACAGTATAGTGTGTTGAGAGAGTATCCAACCTTCTTTACTAGTTTACATCTTGTGTTACAGCTTCAAAGTAGGTCAGATGCCTAAAATAAGTTGGAGGAACAGGTGAAAGATGGAAAATGTAAGGGAAGCTAAAAATGACTTAAGGTTTCTCTGCATACATTTGCAGCCTCAAATAACAAGAAAAGTCATAATTTTAAAGTCAAAAGACATTGATACATGTTGATTTTTAATCTATCTTTAATTCGGCTGTGAAAAAAGTGTTGAGGGAAAACTCACGAAGACTGTAAATGTGTGAAATAAAAAGACAATGAATCTTTCTAAAACCCACACTGAAGGCAGAAGTGAAACAAGATGGTAAATCTTGACTAATCGCCATACTGTAAATCCAGGAAACGCATTATCCTTACAGTAAAATGTGGGTCCAGAATGTGTCCGTGCGAGGTTCGTCTTTTGACTCCTAGCAGTGCCAGTTCTTATGAGTAAACTTAGGAGCTCTGTCTTTAAAAAACGATATGCTCTATTTTCTAAATTACTATGTCTAAGCCACATAGCCTCAGGCAGGAAATGTTTTAGTCTATTGCTCCAAATCACATACAATATTCATTACAGGGCTGCAGACCATTTGAAAAGTCTGTTGTTGTGTTTTTAATTTTAGTGTGCTTTTTTAAATTTTCAGGATCCATACATTTAAATTTAATATGAAAACCATTTATCAAATTGGTTGAGACAAGTAATGAGTACACAATATAAATTGTTATTATTATTGTTAATAATGCTGAAAGTGCTTCAATTTATTATCTAGCAGATTATAGATTGTAGTCAATGGAATAAAAACCAAGGGCTTCCTGCGAGGTAAGTGAAAATATGTATAAAGTTTGGTTTGAAAAAAAGAAAAAAGGGTCAGCCATGCTTTTATTTTGAAGGCGAACACATCAAACAGGAAGAGGTATGATGTCCGTTTGCTGGCGGATGTTGTCGCTATAATTCCTCTTCCTCACAACTTGGTCAAATCTTCACTTAAACTCGCCACAATACTGTTGGCATGGCCTCCACGATGCCTATCAAGGTAATAAAACCTAAGATACATTTGTCTGAACACAGTGGCAGAGAGAAGTCCATGAACAAAACGTAGCTAGGTCACGTAATTTCATGCCAAACCTGACACGACAGACCTGGAAGTGCGGGAAAAGCTCTTAGCTGTTAGCATTGCATGAGTAAAGCTGTAATTATGGCCCTGCAGTCTTTCAGTAAACGCCCATGGCTAAATAACACAAGCTAACATGAGTGTGCGAACTGCAAGGTTGCTCTAAGTAAGGCGTGGTAGCGTTAAACCAGCTACAGTGAACACATCAGGTACAGTGGATGTGGCACGTGGCCAGGCAGAGTGCACCTGCAGCTCACCTGTCTGACCCGTGACAGCTGCGAGCAGGTAGACATACATACAGAGGTGGGAGAAGCATCCTTAAGTAAAGGTAGCAAGGAAACTACACATAACTACAAGTATTATCAGCAAAATATACTACAAAGAGGAGGTGAAGTTCATTTTTGCATCAAACAAACGTTCACAACGAAGGAGTCATCTGTATTGTACTTTGACAGGGAAGAACTACAACATATTTTTATGTGCAAATGATTTCCAAAATGAGTATAGTAAACGAAATGAAGTCATTTTCTTATCTGTGTTGTCAAGGTTACAATATGCAGGGAAAGAAGATACATAGTTTAGGTTATGCTGACAGCCTTACACATGTAATATAAGATACGTTGGCTGTTATAATGTTATATGTTGTAATATTTATGTATGATTATTTGTAATGCATTAAGTAGCTACTGTGTGAGCAGCATCTCAATGTTGTAGATGGTTCAAGGTGGAACCAATTTTAACAATTGAATATACTGCTTGTAGTTTAATATGGCTGTATTATCTTATTTATTAACTAATGGTAATATAGCTATATAAATATAAATATGGATGTAGGTAAGTAGAAAAAAGTACAGTGTTTGTCTCTTAATTGTACTGAAGCTGAAGCAGAAGTACAAGAGCACTATTGTTAATTGACTGTAAACTGTAACTTATATATGTACGAACACAAACAACCTTCTCTTTTAAAAGGAAATAACAGCATCAAGTCTTTGGGATCATAGGGATCTTGGAGTTTATCATCTGGTTATAAAGTAATAATGATGTGCTCGTATAGTTTTAAACACTGTATTTAGTGTTTTTATCCATTCCCTAATTTCCCTATCCTTAAAAGTGGTATTCAAACAGAAGTGTTTTGGTCACACATTGATTCTAATGTAGTTGTGTGTTGATGATCTCCTCATATTCCTCTGTTTAGATTGGAATAATTGGTGGTTCAGGCCTTGATGATCCAGATATCTTGGAAGGAAGGACTGAGCGTTATGTTGACACACCGTATGGAAAGGTTAGTTGTGTTTTGTTGTGGGTCCAAATTGGGGATGGCAGTAGCTCAGTTGGTTGGGACAAGTCTAGCACCGACCACAGTAGAGAGTGGGGACTGGGGGCTGAAGAGGTGCCAGTTCATCTCCTGGGCCCTGCCGAGCAGAGACCGACCAGTATGTGTGGTATGGTATTGGCCTATCACAGACATATCAGTACCAGCATATATGTTATTCAATATCTGCCAATATGAAAACTGTGATATGTTTTAATGCAGGAAAAACTGCATGTGGTAAAATATCTGTGTCATTGCCAAGTTTATCCAGCAGAGTGTGCTGCGATGACAATACCGTGGCAAGCGGCACAGAGTAAAAGAGATGAAGCAGATCTCTGCAGTCAATTAGAATTGGTTGATAATGTATATGTTAAATTATGTCATATATTAATATATTTAAT